AAATAATATTTTTAATAAAAAATTATTTTTTGTTTTTGCACCTGCGCTTGTCTTACAATTATTTTACTAAAAATATATGTAATGTTTGACGGTATTTTTATTTTTTAGAAAAATTATTTAGAGAAAAAATCAAGGTTTCCACAATAGGATTGTCGGTTCTCGACCGAACCGAACCGAAGAACAGAGGATTTTTCGGTTCGGTTCCGTATATCCGAAGATTTTCCAAGAACCGACAACCTTATTCCATAGTTTTTACAGATAAATTAATTAAATTTTTAGAAAATTAAAAATTTAAAAACAAACAACAAACGGAAGGAATATTTTCTATTTAAAAAAGAAAAATATTAAAGGAAAAGGTCAACAAGTTCGGCCAACAATTCCCACTGTATTGTTAAGTGCAAAGAAGTAATATTAAAGGTACTTAACAAGTACAGAAATAAAATTGGGAATAAAAAGAAAGTAAAAATGTTGGCCAAATAAATAAATACAAATTCTATTGTAATCCTCTAAGTAAACATTTAAATATAGAAGAAATATTCATTTAATATTAAATTAATTTTTATTAAATTTTTTTATTATTTAGGGTTCTCTCTAGTTATAATTTAAAAATTATTTTAATTTAAAAACAAGAGGAAATTTGAAAAAATATTTTTTTTCAAATAAATATTTTGAAAAACGCTTCATTTGCTTTTTTAGAAAATATAAAATGCAGGAAAAACAAAAATAAGCTAAAATAGCCAATTTCTTTCAGGTGAATGAATGGGGACTTAAAATAACTATAAATGATGGAATTTTAAAGTTTTGGAAAAAATCCATTAACAAAATTATTTTAAATTAAATATTCGATTGAAATTATAATTTTTGTCAAATTTTTAAGCCATCCTGTAATCCATAATTTCAATTTCTGTTTTTTATTAAAAAATTGTTTTGTTTATTTAAATTAACCTTTAAATAACCAAAAAAATTCTTTTACTTATTTAATGCATATTTTAGCCATTTTTTCTTTAATTTTCCTTTTTTATTAGAAAATAGTACATTTTTAGAGGTTTTTTTCTTTAATCCTTCAGAGTTGAATAATTCCTCCCCCCTCCCCCCCCCCCTCCCTCCTTCACTCTCATTTTTTCTTCAAAATTTTAATAAAGCCAAAAAAGGATGAAATGGGCCAGTCGGGGAAAGAAAATGAAAGAAAAAAATTTATATGATGTGCCCACCGGCGGTTAAAAAAGGATGGACACCGATAGATGTTGGGGGAGAGAGGGATATTTAGATGGACGTTTGGCTAAAAAGAAAATTGGTATTGGCATGGAAAGAGAAATGAAATGAAAAAAACGTTGAATTTTTTAAATTAAAATTGAGAATTTAAATTTAAAATTAAATTTTAAAAATTTTTGGATTTAATGTACAATAAATTATTTTTTAATAAAGTTTTAAGCTTTATATGTAGGAGAGTTTGATATTTTTTAAATATTAAAAATAAAATAATTATCTCAAGTTTAAGTTAAAATTGTGTTAAAATTATTATAAAAATATGAAACAAAAATTAGAAATTTTTTAAACTTCCAAAAATGGATAATAAACTTTAAATTGAGACTAGTTAATAACAAAATAAAGACAAGTAAAAACATATTCTGAGCCAAATAAATATATAAAAGGACATAAATAGTTAAAAGAAATTTGTCGAAAAATTGAAACATAAAAGGAACTAGAAAAGCATTAAGACTGCCAGTTTGCTAGTTTGTGAAATTGGTTTCAATAAAATAAACAATTTTTGTTGTTGCTTTTATTTGTTTAAAAGTATTTATAAGAAATTGAAATATAAATAAATTAAATAAAACTGATAACTTAAAATTTTAGTCTTTAAAATAAATTTAGGAATCGAGATTATTTATAAAAAATATTATAACAATCCGTTTTAAATTTGTTAAAAAAATCGTTGACAAAATAAAAAAAAATAGTCAAAGAAATTTTGGAATCTTATAAGAAATATACTTAAAATTAATTGTCCTTATAGGAAAATATTTATTAAATTATTTAAAATCTAATTAATCTCAATTTCAATTTAATTCAAAATCTTTTCTTTCTCTATTAATTTTTCAAGGGAAAAATAAATTCATTTAGTAAATGACCACAAAATAAAAACTAAAAATCCTCCCAAAATCCCTTTATTTGTGTGGCATTATTTTTGCTATTCTTTCTCATTTTCTTCCAATTTCCTTTATTTCCCACACTTTTACTTTTGTCTTTATTTGGGGGTCGGCTGCCATAAGAGAATAAATAATTTTGTAAAATGTTTTTTTCTTCTTAATTGGCTACTATGCTTTTTGACCATTTACTCTTTTCTTGGCTCTATTTTCATTCTTTTCTACTTGACACTTTAAGTAATGGGGAATAAATGAGCTGGACAGAGTCAAATACTTAAAATAAATTGAAAATTAGAAGAAAGGATTTGAAAAAAAAATTAATTTTATTTTTTAAAGAAATTAATTTTTAAAATCAGAATGAATATCGGGATAATTTATCTCCTTACAATTGAAAATAAACAAAATTCATTTAGTAAATGACTGATAAAAATAGAGCCATAATTCCTTAAACGTTGGAAAAAAACTAAAATTTGAATGTAAGAACTGAAATATTTTTTAAAACTCTGACCGGTAAAATATTTTAGTTCAACCACAGATACTTTAATTATTTAACAAAAGAATTGTATTTTGTTCGGAATCGATCAGATTAGATATGTACATGTTCATAAGCTTGCGGATCCAAATCCGAAAAAAGGCCGGATATCGAAAATTTTCGGTTCGGATCCGGATATCTGAAAATTTCCAACTATCCGACAACCTTAATCACCAGATTAACAAAATTATTTTTAAATAAAAAGTAATTTTTGCAAAAACATTTTTACTAAATTCTCACGTATTTTTTGCGATTATTAATACTTTTTTTTTATTTTTAATAAATAAAAGTGACAATTTGTATGATGGCACTAAAAATATTATCCAAACTTTCAAAACAGATTTACTAAATTATTCTCCTTTTTTTCTTCAACAAAAATATTCTGTCAACTAAAACTACTTTATTTTTACTTTAGGTCACTTATTTATTTATTGGTTACACTAAATGGTTTCCATGACTTCAAAAAAGGATAAAAAATATTTAGAAAAATTTTTTTGAAAGAATTTAATTTTGAAAAATAATTTTCGTGTATTTAAAAAATATTTTTAAAATAATTATTTTCACTTTACTTATTTTAATATTAAAAAATAAATTTAATGGAAACAGAACAATTTCACGAAGAAATAAATGAAAATTTAATAGAAGAAAAAACAGAAGAAAATGAACAAAAAACAGAAGAAAATTTAGAAGAAAATGAAGGGGAAACAGAACAACAAGAACAACAAATAAGTGTTAAAATTTTGGTTTTGGGGCCTACAAAAGTGAGAAAATAATTTTTTTAATTTTTAATGAAGAAATTTAAAGAGTGGAAAAACATCAATTTCTAATTATTTGGCTGATTCACAAGATGCAGTGTCAAAGGATTATAGACCAACTCAAGGTGTTAGAATTGTAGAATTTGAGAGTAATCAACTTGAATTAGATGGAGAAAGAGTTAATGCTGAGGTAAGAAAATTAAATTTTATATTTTTTCACACAAAATTCGCCAAAAAATATTCGAAAGTCATAATCTTCTCTCCCTAAAATTTTAGTTTTTAAACAAATAAACTTTAATAAATATTTTTTCTTAAAAAAGGTTGAATTATGGGACTGTTCTGGTGACAGAAAATTTGAAAGTTGTTGGCCAGCAATTCGTTACCGTTGTGATGGGGTTATTTTTGTTTGTAATCCAGAAATTAATAAAGGAGAGGATTTATTAACATGGTTTTTAAATAACTCATTTTAATAATTCTAATTTAAAGGTACAACGAATTTGCTTTAAAAAATGGAATTCGATTAAGAAATTTATTTATCCTTCTTCACCATACAAGTGAACAAACTAATGATAGCGCACTTGCAGAATTTCATCTCCCAACAGAAATGGCTGGTATTAATATGATCCCCTCAAATATTGATAAAGAAGGGGATGAATTAAGATTAGCTTTTAATAATTTTCTTTGTGATATTATTGCTGATGTTTATGCAAATACTAAAAAATAATTTTTTAATAAAATTTATTTCTACTCTAAAAAGTTAAAGAAAATTAACAATCAAAACGATTTACTCGTTAATTTTTAAAACTAAAAAAGGCATGGGCAATAGAAAAATATAACAGAAATATGCTGCTCAGAATAAAATAAAATGAGAAAAAATATGTTAAAATTTCGAAATTTTTTGGTAAAAATTAAAAAAATAAATTTTTTAAAAATTTAAATTTCGAAATTAGAAAAGAAAAACAACCGAGAATAAAAAGAATAAAATAAAATTAAAAAGGAATTTTTAAGAAAAATTAATTTAGGGAAAGTTTTAGGTAGAAAAACAAATTTGGTTAAAAAGTTGAAGCAAAAATGTGGCTTTAGAAAAATGGCGAGAAAATAAAAAATAAATAAATTTTAAATAAATACTATAAAGATATAAATTAAAGAAAATTTTGGATATTTTTAAATAAAACTTCAGAAAATGGAAAGAAAATGAAAAGCTTTAAAAATTAAAAATAAATTGCTAAATTAATTTTGGTATAAAAAATGGTTTTGGATTTTAAATTAAGTTTCTTCTCTTAATTTAGTTACGAAAAAATATAACAGTTGCGGACGAAACTCAATAAAAATTTATTCAATGGCTTCCTCGATTTTTAGTAAATAATTCTGACAAAAAATGTTTCGCCCACAAATGCCATACCTTCTCTTTTTAAATTTCCTAATTTTATAATAAAAAAATCTCCTTATCAGTTAACTTGCCACATTAACTCCAGTTTCTGCCCGTTCATCTTCATCATCTGTAGTAACTAAACCAACTGCCTCAGCACCAAAATTTGGAATTTCAACTGAAAATAAATCTTTTGAAAGAATTTATTTTAACTTTTTACCAAAATTATTTGAACGACATCTAGCACTAAATTGTTTATTTAATGTATGATGGACTGCAGTTGTTAGAAGTTTGACTTTAGGGAATGCATAAGCTAATGAGTGAACACTTGCTTCTGTCATAAGTAAAGAAACAAACAAAATATCTTCTTCACGAACATCGTGGTCCAAAAGAATTCGAATAGCCATTATTGCGGCAGCGCCTAAAACAAAAAATTTAGAGATAGGATAGGTAGCAGGGATGGGCCGGGTTGAGAAAAAAGTCAGGTCGGGTTCGGATCGGGTACCGGGTCGACAAAAAGACTGGGGTTCGGGGAACCCGGCCCCTTCCTAATAGGTAGAGAGGAAAGAATGTTTAAACATTTCATTTTTAAGAAAATTACCAGTCAAAACAGTTGTGTCAATCAAAATAATTTTGTATTGATTCAATTTCTTTGGCAAACGCAAATAATAAAGTTCTGGATCCTGTGTTTGTTCATTTGTTTGAATTAAAAGGGTTCCAAATTTTCCAGTTAAAGACCGAAGAGATTTTTCTAATGAATCGCCAGTAACCATAATTGTAACTCCACAAACTTTTCCATTATATTTTTGGCCATTAACGTTGTTGTCATTGTCAGTATTTTGCCTTAAACAAATTTTTTTAGAAAATTAACTAAAATTTTTTGAAGGTTTTTTTCTTTGATTCACGAAGATTTTTTTGTTTCAAAACGCCTTTGGTTATATTGTGGTGGAAAGAGAACAGACAAGAGCAAAAAACTGTGACAACACCAAACCCAACGATGACTTGGTTATTTTTATTAATTTTCCTTTTTTGTCAAAGTATTTTAATTAATCCAAAACAGGGTTTGTAAAATATAATTTACATTCATTTTTTAAATTTTTAGTCTAAAATATTCCACTATTTTTCTATCAATTTAAAATTTTTATAAATTACATTTGCACAATTTCATGTTGACTACCACACAAACTCAATGCCTGTTCAATCTACAAAATATAATCTTTTTAATTAAAAAAATTAATTTAACAACCAATTCAGGAAGAATTAATTCTGCATGTTTCATCACTTCTTCCATTATATTTGTTTTTCCATTATCTTTCCAAGAGCGAAGGAAAGCCTGAAACTTTTTGGCACTAGAACAATTTCTTATTATATGAAGTGAAGAAGGTAATTTGACTGGAGGTTCAATACTAGAAGGGGATTCAGGAAGTGAAGGGGAAGAACCATTTCGAGTGTGTTGACAACCATAATAACCTTTTTAAATATTTTAAAAATAAAAAAATATTTTTTTCAAAAAATAACCTCGTTCAGTCAGTTGATTTTTAATATGCCGAACAATTAAATCAATCGCCACCAAATTCTCTCCTCCTCTCGGCACTATTATATCAGAATGTTTCATTGCTAAAAAAATTCCAAATTTAAATTAAAAACATAGAAAGAAATACATGGAGCAATGAAAGAATCAAATGCTGGTTTCACAAATTTGATATATTGATCCAAAACACCAGCAACGTCTCTTCCCTTAAAATAAATATTTATTTGTGCATTACTCTTTAAATAAAAAAATGTTAATATGCTGATAGTGAGTATTTTGAAGTTATAAATTTAAAAAATATACTGAACAACTCAAAAATAATTTTTATTAAAAATTAAATACCCTTTCGGAAATATCTCTTTGTAAACGACGGGCCAATCTAGTATCAGAATCAGTGTCAACAAATACCTAAAAATTTATAAAAATATTTTTCCTTCAAAAAAACCTTCATATCCATTAAATCAACAATTTCCGGTGTATGAAAAGAAAGAATTCCCTCAAAAATTAAAATGTCAGCGCCATACATTAATTTTGGATTTTTTGAACGTTTGTGTGTTGTAAAATCGTAGACGGGAACTTCAACTGAATTTAGGCAATTAAGATGTAAAATAAAAATTTGTAAATACCTGATTTGCCATCTCTTAAACGTAAAAGTGTTTCGTAAAGTAAATCAAAGTCAAAAGCATCTGAAAAAAATATTTAATTTTTATTTAGAAAAAGTTAAAAAGTAAGAAGAAAATTTCAAAAAATGAAAAGAAAAATAGAATAATAATTCTAACCAAATTAATACCAACAAGGAAAGGTTGCGAAATGTCCGACCTAAAAACGCTTCAGAGGGCCATATCTTGGCCAGATCAAAGACGGGCAAAAACGGCTCAAAATCATTGCTAGATTCTCTATCGAATGAGTCCGGACATTCTCTATCAAATGAGTCCGGTCTCGACCGTTTTTAGGTCGGACACCTCGCAACCTTTCCTTTTAAAAATTAAAATAATTTTAGTAAAACAATTTACTTGGATGGTCAAAATTATATTCTTGTTTATCAGCCAAATGGTGTTGTTCTTCATTCAAAACATTATAAAAAGAGTCCATAGCAAGTACAGTTACCTAAAAAAATAATTTTTTGAAGACTTTTAAATTTAAGAATTACCCAAGGCATTTCCAATCTCTCAATAATTTTTTGGGCGACAGTTGTTTTACCAGAAGCAGAGCCCCCACAAATTCCAATTAAATAAGACTTTTTTAGACGTTTTCCAGCTTTATTAAATAATGAAATTATTTAAATTTGTAAAAACTCAAACCTCTATCATACCAGGGAGGACGTCCTTTTGTATAAACTTTCTAAAAAAAATAAATTTTAAAATCAAAAAATCAAAAATTTACTCGTCCAGTCTCAGTCATAAAAACATCCTCTTCGTCAGCCTTCGAGTTTGAAATCGTTCTTGTACGTATTCTGCATCGATTAGAAGTTGGAATACTTTCTTTAGAAAATAAACAAAAATTAAATTTAAATACCATTTTAAACTTTGAAAATTTAAAGAAATTAAAATGTTAAATTAATTTTTTGTTTTTAATTTAATAAAAGGGACAAGTAAATGAATCACTCTCTCTGTTTGAAACTAAACAATCAATTTTTTATAAAAAAGACAAAAGATTATTTTTTAAAAACAAAAAAAAATTCAAAAACAACCTTCAATATATCCATCAACAATAACTTCGTCACTCGAACAGGAATCAGAATTATTATCTGTTGAAGTTAAATCTGAAGACATTTTAACGTTATTTGATGCAGTCTGTTGCTTCCAAGTCGGATTTATTGGAATTTTTGTGTCGCAACTATTTGGTGACTGCATCCTTTTTTTAAAGAATAAATCTAGAAAAAATAAATAATTTTTATAAAGATTAAACAATCAAAAATCAAAAAACAAAAGAATTAAGAAAAGGTAAAATTGACAATAAAATTTTGACAAAACAGGTTTCAGGGACACGCCCAAAACGGCGCGCGGCCATAACGGCGCAAAGGGGACACGCCCGACTAGTCGCGGGCCGACTAGTCGCGACCGACTAGTCGCGGCCGACTAGTCGCCGGCCAACTAGTCGCGCGGCCAACTAGTCGCCGGCCGATTAGTCGCCAAGTTTTTTAATTAAATACTCTGATTAGTAACCTGCAAAATTATTTTTCCGGGCCTGGAAACCGGATTTTGGGTAAAATTTCGGTATACGACACAGACGCCGATTAAGTCGAATGATATGTTATTCGAAAGAGCTCGTCGAGCTGATTCTAATGACGCCAAAATCAACGAAATCTGACTTGATTTGACACAGAAGGTTTTCGCGGAAAAAAGTTTTTGCCGCTGCGGAGGAAGCCGGGCATGTCGAGCGGAACGACGGCCGCCGCTTCGCTACGGTCGCCGCGAGCGAAGCGAGCACGACCGCAGCGAAGCACGGCCATCGTGTAGCGAAGACCATGCCCGGCCTACCCTCCGTAGCAGCACAAAAACAGTTTTTCCAGCGAAGATTCAGTTGGTCATCACTTTGTTCAGAATCATCCAATCGAGCTGATCTGATTAAAATACTATTAATCAGATAGTATTTTGAAGAATATTTAATTATAAAACTTGGCGACTAATCGGCCGGCGACTAGTTGGCCGCGCGACTAGTTGGCAGGCGACTAGTCGGCCGCGACTAGTCGGTCGCGACTAGTCGGCCCGCGACTAGTTGGGCTGTACCCGGCGCAAAGCCATAACTTACTTCAAGATTTCCGAATATTATCAAATTTAGTATAAAACGAATCCTCTCATCGAGCTAAAGAGATTGGTAACAAAATTGCTAAGGGCCAGAAATTTTACAGCAAGTTATGGCTTTGCGCCGTTAAGGCCGGCGCCGATTTGGGCGTGCCCTCAATTAAAGTTTTGCCATTAGAGTCTGAAAAATAACAATAGATTGGAGTTTGTGTTAGTTTAGAGAAGGGGACTTTAAAGAAAGGAAAAAACAATTAAATAATTTATTATTTATTTGCCAAATAAACTTGTTAAACTTTTTTTTTCTTTTCTTAAAAAATAATTATAAATAAATAGCTAATATTATTGTTTTTTTTGTTAACTTTGACGTTGTTTATTCGAGAAAAAGATCTTTGAAATAAGGTAAATATTTATTAAAAGAAAAAATATTGCCATTCTGATTTGTGTTATTAATCTTTTAAAAAAATCAAAAATTTAACTGGAACATTAAATTTCAGGTTTTTAACCTTAAAAAACCTTTCATTTAAAAAAATTAATATTTAACTGATAAATAAATGAGAAAATTTTTTAATTGCTTTGCTCATCAAGGAAAGCCATATTAAATATACAAAATTGTTAGAACAAAGAGAAAAACTATCAATCTAATTGCGTGCTCATTAAAAAAAGGGAATGTTGACAGTCTGTCAATTGCCTTTCTTTGGTGGTAGGACAAATTACCGAAAGGATATTTAACAGACAATTTATTGACTTTATTTGAGTAATTCATTCAGTTGTTAAAATTTATGTTAATTGATAACCCTTTTTAATAAATAATTGTTGATTTTCTCGAGTGAACCCTCAACAGGATTCATACTTTTGTTGAACTATTAAATCTGAAAATTGTCCTTTCAGTGAATTGTCCCTCTTTATTTTCTTCCCTTCCCTCTACGTTTCGTCTGACACATCCCTCGTAATTTCTCTATTTATTTTTACTACTATTTTACTTTATAAATGTGACTTTTCCTGTTCCTATCTACAAATATCAAAAACAAAATAGTATGGGGGTGCTGGGGAATTGTTAGCATATAATTCCTAATCATTTTCTGATCAAAGTACTTTTTCTATTTTATTTACAAAACCATTTTTGGAGATTCTTATCAAAAACAAAAAATTTATAAAAATATTTTTTTAATTTTTTATTCACTGGACTTTGGTTACTCAACCAATAATAAAAATTATTTTTGGGGGAGCGGCATTTCTAATTGTTTTTTTCTCTTAACAAAGTGTTTGAAACATTTTTCTTTAATTTATTTAAAATTATTATCTGTCAATATTTTAATTACTTGTAATAATTTAACCTTTTTTTAACTTGTAAACGAGACAAAAAATATTTATTTATTAATGTATTTTTTCCCCTTTAATAATTCACTCTTAATTATACGAATAATTATTAAATAATTTTATTTTTATTTTTAATAAAATACTTGTAGCAATTTATAAGACAAAAAATCTTTCGGGAGCAGGCCAGTGCACCGTCGAGCTACAACTTCGTCCAAAATTATCGAATCCGTGGCGCCCTTGTATTGTTCGATTCAGCTGGTCGAGCCGCATCGAACTATACCAGGACGCCGCGGATTCGACAATTTTGAACAAAGTTATAGCTCGGCGGTACATTAGAGTGTACCCAAATCTTTCTAATCTTCCATACCTTAAATATAAATTTTGGGTTAAACTAAAATATATACCTAAATTCTTTTTTCTCTCAATCTATTAAATCTTTCCAATTCACAATTAACTTATATTAGACAATAATTTAATTTTGATCAATTTAAAGAACGACTAACGTTCATTATTTTTAAATTTATCATTTTGTTGTCATAATTTTTTAAATCCAAAATAAAAATTTAATTTTTTGTTTATTTTCCTCAAAATATAAATTTTATTACAAAAATATTTATTTAAATATTTTTTTTTAAAAACTTCTCCCCACATTTATTAATTTGTCTAAATATCAGTGATTTCTCTATAATTTTTATTTTTAATGTTTTGATATTCCTCACATAATACCATTTGGAATAGCTATAAAATTAATAAAAATTTGTTGTTTTTTCTGTAATTTTTATTTCTTAAAAATTTTAAATAAATTTTTGTTTATTTAAATAGTTTTATTTATTTTGTTAAACATACTTAAACATCAATATTTAAGAACAATTTTAATTATTATATTTTTGTTAAATTAAAATAAATTTATTTTTCCAACAAAATTATATTATAAAGCTTTTTTTTTGTACCAAAAAACCATTTAAATATTAAAATTTAATTCACACTTTTCCCTACACAAAATTAGCTTTTCATTAAATTTCTTAAAAGTAATTAAATATTAAATTTGTCACTAATTTAAACCTTATGTTTTATAGACAATTCCCTGAAAGTAAAGAATTTTTTTGAATTTAATACAAAATTTTTTTTCCATTAATTTCTCTTTTCTTAATATTCTTTTTAAACTTTTTTTTTTCAAAATTTTATATTTAAAAATTTCCTTGTCTATTTTAGAAATTTTAATTTTTTTTTAAATATTTGTATTTAATACAAAATTTTTATTTAAAATACAATATTTATTTTTGAAATAAAAATTCTTTCTAAAAGAAGCTTTTCCTAATTTTCTTTAAAAAAATTATTTTTGAAAAATAAAAGAAAATATTTTATATTTTTAATTTTCATTCTTTAATTAATTCTGTCACATGGATATGTATATGTTTTTATATAAATTTTAAGCAAAAAATTCTGCAAAAATTTAATTTTTTTTTATTTTTCCTGCGCATGTGAGCTACTAACATACATTTAAATATATTTATTAAATGCCATTTAGGAAGATCTTTAATAGAAACCTGAAATTTTTCTCTTTCTTTCAAATTCTCTATCAAAAAATATTTCTGTCACCTACCACTTACTAAATAACATTTTTGGCTTTATTTTTTCTTCCAAATTACAAAAACTTTCTAAAAAATTTTAACTAATATATTTAAATGGTTGTCTTGACTACCTTTTTTTTAATTGATTTGTGTTAAGTGGTTCTTTCATTAATTTTAGAGCACACACACTTAAAAGCAAAATCTGTAAGGATTAAATACAAAAATAAATCATTTAATGGATATTGTAAACAGGAAAAGAGAAAGGGGGGGATTAATTTGTTTTTAATTTATCTATATTTTAATGTTTTAATTTATTTTAAGATTTTGAGTGACGATTTTGTGTTGAAATCGTCATTAAAACTTTTCTCAATCTTTGAAGGTTTATTTTGAGGAAGAGGTGGATTTAAATGCTTAAAAATTATTTTTTAATTATTATTAAGTTTTGTAAAATACTGGGAGGATATGTAGCAGAATGTGCCAGTTTCGCCTTTCGCGGATTTTGGATTTTCTCGTTTCGCACATTCTCGTTTTGCGTATTTAAAATATGTTTCGGCACACCCCTGATATGTAGATAGATATGTTGACAGAATTCCTTGTTTATGTCCCAACTCTCTGTACCTGGATAAATTAATTCAGCCTCCGGAAATTAACAATTAATAATGACGTGTTTATTAAACGAGAATTTAATGGGAAATTTAAAAAAGTTGGGGAATAAAATACAGATTTTTTTTGCTTTTTTAAACAGTTAAGGGACAAATGCAATAAATCTTAAAGCAATTATTTGGGTAATTTATAAAAATAAAAAGCGCAAAATTAAGAATTACAAATTTATTCCCCACCATTACACGCTTTGCAAGGTAAAATGCAAGAAATTGAAAAAAAATAT